GTCTGTATTGTGCTTGTGATATGTTGTAAAATGTTGTATGTCTGTTAATGTTTCCCTCCTTTTATCTTTAAAATAAAAAATAAAAAATAAATAAATAGAACAATATATCATGTTGGTATATGAATGGAGCAATTCATTATCATAAATTGTAACAATATACAGTGTTCCAAAAGTGAGTGTTGTTATATGTATGTGTAATTTGACAAACTTCTTGTAATATTTTTAGCATAACAAAGGGAAAAGAAAAGTCAAAACAGTAGATTTCCTCTATCACACACTAAGACTTGTAAAGCTTTAGATGAGGAACATTGCTACAAGGGTAAATAAATAGACCAGTGAAACAGAATAAGAGCCCAATAAGTGACTTGCGGATATATAATCACTTGACTTATGACAAAGTTGGTTCTGTAGAATAGTAAAGGACAGTCTTGCTGGGCATGGTGGCGCACGCCTGTAATCCCAGCACTCAGGAGGCTGAGGCAGGAGGATCGTTGCAAGTTCGAGACCAGCCTGGGCTACAAAGAAAGTGAGCTCAAGGCCATCCTGAACTGCATAGCAAGACCCTGTCTCAAAAGGACAAAAATAAATAAATAAATAAATAAATAAATAAAACCACTATACCATTACTACATTTAAGCACCACAACAATCCTTTGTTAATGTCTAATAATAGTAAGTCCACAATCCTCTTTGTCATCATAATCAAATACCTTTTTACAGAGGGCTTGTTCTAATGGGAGCGTACACCTGTAGCCCCAACTATTCAGGAGGCTGAGACAAAAGGATTGCAAATGTAAGGGCCAGTCTGGAAAACTTAGCAAGATTCTGTTTCAAAGTACAGGAAGGTAGGTTGGGGGTATAGCTCAATGATAGAGTGCTTGCCTATTGAGTGCAAAGCCTTAGTTCAGTCTCTATTACTAGAAATAAATAAATTGAATTGAATTGTTTGATATGTCTCCTAATCTAGAGTAGGTTTTCTCTTTCCATTTTTTGTTTCATGTCATAGACTTATTGGTGCAGCTTGTAAAAGGATCCAGCTTCTTGATTTGTCTGTTTGCCTCTTTGTGTTGGTATTGAACATGTTCTTTACTCCCTATTTTTCCTGGAGATGGAAATTAGACTGTTGCATTTAGGTTATTTATTTATTTATTTATTTATGTGTTTTGGGGGGCCAAGAATGCTTCATAGA